CCCCCCCCAAGTGTGTGTTTGTGTCATCCATTTACCTGTCAACTTATAATGACTCTGAATATTTTAAAGAGTTTTTTTTTAGTAAGACATATTTATAAGTTGTTTTGCCAGTACCTACAGCAGACACCCCATGTTTTCATTGGCAGTTTCCCATCCTAGTACTAACCAGGCTGATCCTGCTTAGCTTCCCAGTTCAGATAGGATTTGGTGCTTAGTCTCACTTCTAAAAGAGACATCATTTCAATAGTGACTGAATTACTTGGAAGTTGTGCCTGACTCAGACTTCCTTTATTAGCTCTGATGGAATCACAACTAGAGTGGAATGGTTTCAGGGTCTGAGGCTAGATTAGGCCTACAACATCAGCTGCATCGAGTACTTCCTATCAATAACAATAATAAAACTATCGGGCTTCCTAAAGAGTGCTTGCAAAACTGTATGGTACATTTCCATAATAGGGCACTTTATGTAGTTAGTGAAATTTTTATAATCCCCTGTGCAGCTACTATAATCAAAAGTTGTAGATACTCATTCTAAAGACAAGATTATCCAGCGTTTCATCCCTGAAGTACTTATCCAATTTTCTTGTTCATACACTGCAGACTATTCTTTGTATCCTGGTAACTAGCAAATACTGCCATGATGGGGGGCTCTAGGAGATAAGACGGGGAAAAGGAAATAACTAGTTAAAACTGATGTTAACAATTAAATTGGAAATTATCTAATGAATTTTAATTATAGATTTTTTCAATATATACATATATGTTTAATTCTAGAATTTAGTTAAGTAAATTAGGCACAATGCTAAAGAGTCCATTTTTCCCATTTTCCTGCTGGTTATATACCTAAAGTTTAGTTTAAATGGCAACAGAACATACACTTAATGGCCCCGTCTATAAATGTAATTAACTTTGAGGTTTTAGCTTACCAGTGCTAGGCTGAACACGTTACTCATCTCTTTTGAGTATTCCTATCTCTAGGGAGAGGCATAATGACATTTAAAGAAGAGGTTCTGCTCCCCACCCCCCACCCCCAGTTCAAATTTTTATCTTATCCTAATGCTGTTTGAAAATCAGAAATATAGCACAGGTTGCCAAAATCGGTATTATGTGCTTTACTATACAGACAAACCTCACTTAATAAAACCTCTGACAAAGAAGCTCTTTTCAAAGCTTTTCCCTACCTGCCTAGTCCCCTTTTGTTAATTGGCTAGCTGAAGTATTTTTAGCACCTTTAGCACTGGGTTGGGGTGAAGAAGAGGTTAAAAACACAGACTTTCAGTGTCAAATTGCAGCAGTGGGTTAGAATCAATAATGTAATAGAGCTTAGGTTAGAAAAAAGCAGAACTGAGTTGATCCTACTGTCTGCCTACAACAGGCAAGGCAAACAGCAGCTGCTTTCTGAATATCGTAAACAGCAACATGGGGAGAAAAGGGAAGAACAGATAAAGTTGCCTCACTATTTAACCCTAGCCTGTATTTGAAAACAACAGCTAAAGTAGATTTTTAGCTTGGCCACCAAAATAAAAATCATAGGAAAAGTGAGGCTTGATGAAATAAAAATTTGTTCCATGGCTGGGTGCTTAACTCAAACCACTCTTATTGCAAATCACATTTCTCATTGAAATGCATTGAAATGCTATTAATCATTTCCAGGCCTCTGAACCCCCCCCCCCATTTTTGTTATGTGTTTTTAAATAAGAAAACACGCTTTATAAGTCACAAATGATGTATAAATGCACATTCACAAGAAACAACAAAAAAGAAAGATCAACTTTAAAATGGTAGAAGCACAAATTTGTGGCAAGGAAGCACAAAGCGAAGAGGCAGAAGCATAATTTTCTTCATACTGTACTCATTCCAGCCTTCCTCCCTCTCTTGCTCTTTTCATGAAGGCAAACATACCAGGAATAAAAACCACACAAAATCAACTAACCAAAGTGCCTCAAAATGGACAAGAGCAAAGTGGACAGCAATCTCCCAAAACAGACAAATGCATGAGGCACAAGGCACAGAGGTCCTTAAAGCCCTAAAGCCCTGTAGTGTGCCCTCTGACACTAGCTCTTAACTCCAAATGCTGCTCTTATGCCAAAGCAAAACCAGGGCGGAGCAGAGCAATGGTTCTTAACTTAAAACACTCTTAAGTTTGGCTGCTCTTAAGTTGAAGATCCACTGTATTGTATTAATGTCAGCCACAGTTTCAGCCAGTGGTTTGGGCAAATCAAATACTTTCTAATCATTACTTGCCCACAACAAATAAAAAAGCAAACATAGCTTGTTTTCTCATGAGAGTGTGCCAAATCTCAATATGATGAAAGTTACTGGAGAGATATACATGGGGAAAGAATGCTTGTGACCGAATTTGTTGTGGTGATGTACATAAAGATATTGGTAGCAGCAGTGTGTGTGTGTGTGAGAGAGAGAGAGAGAGAGAGAGAGAGAGAGAGAGAAGGAGATTGCCCTTCAACTATGACTTTCTTTAATCAACAACACGGTGTGGGGATGACTAGTGGGTAATTAAAACAGAAAAAGAGTAGCATAAGACATTCATTAGGAGTAGAACCTTTTTAAAAAGGTCATGAGTATTATTTGCATTCTCAAAAAACTAATCTTCAGGTTTGTTATTAATGAAAACAATAAAAAGGCATGGGTCAGTGGGGGAGAGAATGTATTTCAGTAGAAATAATGAAAAACACTAACATTGCAAATTGTGATAAAGTTGGTAAAGTTTATTGTAGAATAAGTTGCACCATGGCTAGTATAAAAGGATCACTGGTGGACTCTCCCACTGAAAGTATTAAAAAGCAGCAGTTATTCCGATGTATATGTCACACTAATTGGGACACATGGGACCTTTTTAGATGGCGCACTTTAATTAATCTCCAGCTTTTCCAATATAAGCGATGCTATGTTTTCTTCTTTCTTTCCTCCTCTTTGTTAAAAGGAAACTGTGTTCCAATTAGTGCTAGAGAAAGAACAATAAAATAATTGCTGGGCTATATATTTTCTAAGAGAAAGTAGCCATTGCTTCTCCGTCCTGTCATGCCTTGGGCCACCTGCAATCTCTCTACTAGTCTAAACTAATTAAGTCTGTATAACAACTTCTCTATTCCATCTTAAATCTGTTGCTACAGGGAGGCATAACATTTTCATTTACTCCCCACCTATCCCTGCCTCTTTGGTTTTGCTTATATTCAGGCTGAAGAAAGATTTTTCATCAACTCAGATACTTGCTCATGGTGCTGTGATATTTTGTTGGCCCTAAGAAAGATATTATGCCAATGTTTGGGATTTCTTGTCATATACGGAGTTTAGTAAGCAACTGCAACCAAAAATATTGGGCCTGAAAATATTCTGATTGCAGATGTGAATAGGTATATATTGAAGACAGACTAGTACTGCTGAACAGTCAGCTGGTGTGAAATATGCTGTATAGTTCAAACACTTTATCTACAGGATCAGTATCTGTGATTTCATTTCCCTGTATCTGACAACAGATTTCTTCTTTAGACATTATCTAGGTCCTTCAGGAGATTTTGTGGCATGCTTCTAAAAGACGTTGACCATAGAGTTGTGCTGGAGGACATAGTGATGCCAAGCGTAGTATCTCTCTCTAGGCATTTCCTGGATCCTCTAGTATGACTATATCGAAGCAATTCATTCAATATGTTTTATAGTAACCCACTGCCCACATACCCGTGCAACGTCCTGGAATGTGTTCACCATAGCTGATGCATGTCATACTGTGTATTGTATTATATATGGTTTGGCGATGCGAAGGACTGGACTTTATTGAGCTACGTTTTTAAAGCTGTAGACATAAGTTCCTTATGTTTACTCTGGAAGTGGTCATAATATTTTCTTCACTCCTAAGTCCCATACTGGGGAATTCAATAAAGATTCCCCAGTTAGGGACCCCCAGGGAAGAAAATACTTTGTAGAACACCGAAGTCCGCTTATTGTCTGTACTAGGACATGGCATGATACTTAGCCATTTTTGTTGTATTCTTGAGCGATATCCAGGACTGATCAAGAGGCAGTCCCTAGGACATCCCAGGCAGGCACTCTTCATTTTGAAAACCACTATATCAGTGGTTCTCAGTCTGTGGGCCCCCAGGTGTTTTGGCCTACAACTCCCAGAAATCCCAGCCAGTTTACTGGCTGTTAAAATTTCTGGGAGGTGAAGGCCAAATAATAATAATAATAATAATAATAATAATAATAATAATAATCCTTTATTTGTACCCCACTACCATCTCCCGAAGGACTCAGTGCGGCTTACAAGAGGCCAAGCCCAAATACAATAGTAAAAACAACAGCAACAACAAACAGCAGAATAACTCAGAAAACAAAGCAATAACATTGACAACACACAATGACACAATTAAAAACAATGGCAGGGCCAAATGTAATAATTAAAATTAAAAGTGCTGGGCATGACCAGGTGGAGTGTTTTGGAAGGGGGTGGGCATGCAGATATCCTAGATCTCTGATCCAAAACATCCGGGGACCACAGGTTGAGAACCACTACACCCTTTTTTCCCATGGAGGCCTCGTAAGGAGACACTGCAGTCTTTAAACGCCTGCCATTGTGTGATCCTTGGGTCACTGCGATGCCCAGGGAAGACCGAGCCACGTGGAAATCCAACTATTTCCTCAAGATCATCCAACGGTTGGATGATTATCCAACCCTTGGATGATTGTCCTACTAATGTGTGTGTGCTTGCGGAATGATTGTCTGCTCTTGGAACCACACTTGCACAACCTCTGAGAAAGTGCAATGATTTTTTAATGATTTTAAGATTGTGACTTGTCTTAATTCAGCTCCTGAATCAAATGCTTCTTCCTGAGCTTTCAGAAAAAATACAATTATTAATCTAAAGAAAGAGTATGTGTTTGTATTTTGGTAGAGTGGGAAGTGAAGGTTGATACAGAAAAGTCTTTCATATGTCTTCTCTGTTTCCCTCCCCTGCTTTTGTCTCTTCCCTCCCTTTCTTTCCTAGGGGATGTACTTTTCCAGATGGCTGAAGTCCACAGACAGATTCAGAATCAATTAGAAGAGATGGTAAGCACTTTGCTTCCTGTTGACATGTCCTTTTTGCAAAGGCTGGCCAAGGGGCAGCTTGCACTCTGTTTGGTAGATGTGGATGTAAAATACATCTGTCACAGAATAGTTGCCAACTCTTTGAATAAGAATGAGGATTTTTGAAGAAGTCAGGAGCCAGACAAAATCATAAATCATGTGCTCACCTCAAAAAAAAAATCCAGGAAAATAACTGAAGTTGCAAATAAAAACGGATCTTGGACCATGTTTCATGCTTTGCCAATTGGTTTCATACACTGTCAGGGCCAAATAAAGCTCTTTGTTGTTCCAGTGAGGTGACCTGTCTTTATTGGGGAGGGGTTTACACTTGAATTTTTTGGGTGTGTGTGTGTATATATATATATTTGCTATAAGCCTTGTTAAGTAGCTATCTTAGCTATAGGGCATTGTGGAAAAGGCCATTAATTTGTTGTGTATATGTATAAATATCGCACTTCTTTCATTTATATACAGAGACAGACAAATAGAAAAGAACTGTTAGTATAAATGTTTAAAAAATGCATTAAGGACATTCTTATTAAGGACAAACAGAACTGTTATATTAAGCTGCAAGGTCTTTGCAAACCTTTGTTTACCAAGGAAAAGAGCACCCAGGACATTCATGGTTTCTGAGCACTTATGTAGAATGTTTATTAATATCACAGGAATCTGACCTCTTTAATATATAGATGATTATTAGAGCAATCTTTACAGCTAATCTCTGGGGCTGAGAATGGTTTGGGAGTTAGATTTGCGTAGCCCTGGTGGTGCAGCAGGTTTAACCACTGAGCTGCTAAACTTGCTGACCAAAAGGTTGGCGGTTCGAATCCAGGGAACAAAGTGAGCTCCTTCTGTTAGCCCCAGCTTCTGCCAAACTAGCAGTTTGAAAATATGCAAATGTAAGTAGATCAATAGGTACTGCTCTGGCAGGAAGGTGTATTTTATTTATTTATTTATTTATTTATTTACTTTATTTGTATACCGCTCCTCTCAGCCCTTAGGCGACTCGGAGCGGTTAACAGCAACAGCAACAGTTTCAGTATACAAAGTAACGGCGCTCTGTCCAGTCATGCTGACTACATGACCTTGGATGTGTCTCTATCTTGACCTTGGCCTTTAAACAGAGGATTATAAAATAAGGCTAACCATTTATTGCCCATTGATCCCACTTATCTTCCCAGAGCTGACTCAGCTGTCTTAGAGTTTCTTTGACCTACTTAGTATTGCCCCCCCCCCTTACCAATATTCATTCTGTTTTGCTATTCCCATCTATTTCTAAAGATTCCTGGGGGTAGTATCTTTTCCCCTGTTCAGCCTTTTTGCACATTGCCCTGTTTGAAACTGGTAGTGATATTATGCTTCTTCCATTCTATTTGGTTTTCAGCTGAAGTCCTTTCACAACGAGCTGTTAACACAACTGGAACAGAAAGTAGAACTGGATTCACGATATCTAAGTGTAAGTAGCACATAGCTTATACTTCATATATAGTTAGCCATTCTGGATGTTTTTCTATTAGCACTGAAATTGAAGGGGTTCAACTTCTTGAAGCTGGGCTGAGTTTTGGTCTGATTCTGCAAAATTATTCTTAATTTCTTAAGAAAAGAGCATATTCAAAGATACTTAATTCAGAATGTTTATGCTGTATCAGTTAAATACTTCCTAAGTATGTCCAGGTTTTATAATCAAAATAACAGGGATTCTAGTGTGTTTAAAAAGGGGGGTGAGATTCTGGATAAGCTTGAAGTTGGTTTGTCATGGTGCTACATTTTGCAGTGTAGTTTAATGCTGTATTAAATACAGACTTGCTTGAAGTGTGATAAAGTAAGAGGTAAGGGCTGCATATATCACATTTTTATATTAAGCATGTGCAAGTATTACTATAGTAAGCAAAACTTTCATATCTCCCTCTATCAATTGTGTTGTTATTTGTTTTATCTGATGTTTTAATTGGTTAACGTGTTTTAGAAGCGTGTTTTAATTGTAATCTTGGGCGTGTCCCTTGTAAGCCGCCCCGAGTCCCCTAGGGGGGATGGTAGGTGGGGTATAAAAATGAAGTTATTATTACTATATTATTATCTCCAACCCAACCTTGCCATCCTGGAATATTCAGATAAATTTGTGAGGTTTAGGGAGCAGGAAGTACAAGCCCTTTGCTCTTCCTGTTTTTCATCCCATACTAATTCTATTTATGGTTGTATGACTTTGTTAAAAGGATGAATATGAATACCTTCTGAATTCAAAATAGTTGATGATGTTCTGTTAACCCAAATTCAACACTTAACTGCATTTTTTCTTATTTGTAAAGGTGCATATTTAGACCATCTCTAGATAGGAAATCAGCTTAGGAGTCGCTCAATCTCAGTTGGGCTGTTCATAGTCAGTACAAAGCTACAATATAAGAAGAGCCCTGTGGGATCAGACTTAGCATTTCACTTAGCAATCCAGCATTTTGTTTTCCACAGTGGCCAACAAAATTGCTGCAGGAAGCCCACAAACAGTGAATTCCAACATTTGATTATACTTTTGTGCATTACTTCCTTGATCTGTTTTGAATCTCCCAATGTTCAGCTTGGTGATCCTCGGGATTTCTAGTACTATCTGAGAAAAGTCAAAGTGGCTATAATATTGCTTGGAAGCTGAGATGGGATTTTTTTTAATAGAAAAGGTTGAAAAAACATTTTGTTTCTATGTGTACACACACCTGTATCATTGTGCTAATAAGGTTTATCATCCTGGCATGCAAAATGCTAAAGTGGCCCTTATGTTATTACACTCTCTCAGATTCAGTTGGCTTGTTTTAAAGACCCAAAGTGTGACAGTTTAATTTTATAGCTCAGCTAGAAAGCCTTGTTTGCTGTAATTAGTTGGAGAGAAAGGGACATATAGTAATTATAGGCTAGTGCCAATGTAGCATAGTTTCATCCAATCTTATATCCTTACTTTCCCTCGGTTTTTGCACCCATTTATTCCAAGGTGACAGTGGAGGTAGGAATAGTTCTTCTTTGACATTCCTCTCTCTCCATTCAGTCTTTGAATTTACACTGGGTTTGTTGTCATTTTTAATCCCTTACCAGCTTCCAAACTCAACACGAGTTGTGTCGAGAAAATAAGGAGAAAGGCATCCCAAAGTCAGCTGTAGCCCCTGGAGGCATCTCAGCCCTTGCTGTGCTAAGGGTTTGACTCCATAGTATTCACAAGATTCTCTGAGCTGTTTCCTGTTCTCTAGTTGACTAGAAATGTGTTTTTTCCACTTTCTCCCAGGGGAAGCCAGCCTTTTGTTTCAAAACATGCCCCCTGCAGCAGGTGTGAGGTCAGGACCTTCTTGCCTTTTAGGAAGGATGTAAACAGTGCTCCTTAGGAACAGGGGGATCTTTGCCCATCTCTTCAACATGCCGTTATTTCAGCTATTTATCATTCCCACCTCTTCCTTATCTAGGCTGCATTGAAAAAGTATCAGACTGAGCAAAGGAACAAAGGAGATTCGCTGGAGAAGTGTCAGGGTGAACTGAAAAAGCTTCGGAAGAAGAGCCAAGGGAGCAAGAACCCCCAGAAGTACTCTGAGAAGGAGCTGCAGGTAGGAATTGTTTTGCCTGGAAGGCCTCACAGTGAAGAGTTGGTTCTTGTTATTCTCATGGTTACTTAATACCAGCAAGACTTGTATGCTAATTTTAACTATGTGCGGTTTAAGTCGTTTTGAATCACCTTTGGGGGAGATAAAGTGGGGCATAATAATAATAGTAATAATAATAATAATAATAATAATAATAATAATGCAAAGACTCTGGGAAGCCAATAAAGGTGGTCCCAGTGGTGATTGACACACTGGGTGCAGTGCCTAAAGACCTTGGCCAGCACTTAAACACAATTGGTGATGACGAAATTACCATCTGTGAGCTGCAAAAGGCCACCCTATTGGGATCTGTATGCGTTATTCGCTGATACATCACACAGTCCTAGACACTTGGGAAGTGTCTGACGTGTGATCCAATACAACAGACAGCAGAGTGAGCTTGTTTGCTGTGTACTAATCTTGTTGTGTTTCAAATAATAATGATGATAATAAGGCTGTGATTGTATTTTGCTGGTCTGTTTCATTGGCATTGCCACTTCACATTTGAGAAACTGCTAATCAAATTACAAAAACCAATTTGTGTACTACTTTTTGTGCATTTATCTTTGAAGAAGAATGAAGCCTATTTGTTAGAGGGAGATGTGTGGTCATGGGGATGAAAAGTTGCAATCATGGCACACTTACCTGGAAATAAGTCATCCTGAACTCCTTGAGACTTGCTGTCAAATAAACATCCACAGAGTTTGATTTCACAGGTAGAAACCTAGGATAAGTCAACTTTATTCATTGTGAATATTTTTTACTCTTTCAGTTGCATTCAAACTCTAAGCTCTAGCCTGTTTTTAGGTTGATTGTAAAAAGCTACAGAACAAGAGCATAGCAGTTCAAAAATCTGCAATTGACTGAGATGCCTTTGATAAATAAATTCATGTAAAGGCTGTCTCTTCCTCCAACATTATTTTGAATTGTTATGCCATCTATCTATCTAATGCAGATATGACTGTAGATACAAATCTGCTTGCACTGTCACTTATTTTTCAATTATTTCCATCCCAGTCAAATAAATAAATATCAATTTCCATATGCCAAAGGGGTTTTCTATTAGGCAAGACATATACCAGTGAGTACTGATTTCAAGCCTTGTGTTGTTTTCTAATCAGGTTTTGATTGTGTCCCCAGAGAATGAGGCCTGTGAGTCTCTAGGCAGACAATATCTGTTTCCTGATGGAAACAACAAAGCACCCTTGCTTGAGTCTCAGAGAAAGGAACTTGCGCACAATTTTTAAGGAACAGAAGACTACTAGGTCGAGAAAAATGATGGCAGAACTGCTAAAACAAGCGACAATATTGTGTTGCTTCTATGCAACGAGCAATTGTTTCTGTTAACCAGGAGATATGCAGAAAGAATGGCAGCCCTCGGGGTTAATAGGTGTAACTCCTTGGTTAATCTCTTTCCCCTCTGGTGGAGGTCAGGGACTGTTTCAATAGGTGCCCCGCCTGCTACAACCCTGCAAGCACAGCAAGTCCTAACAAGAAGCTTTTAGGAATTCTATCAACATAGTCTGGCCTAAATAAATCTGTTTTGTTGGTTGCTGTGTTTTCTGCATGGCTATGAATTATAGCAGTTACTGCCATGGCAGCTGAAGTTACGAGCAAAACAAAAATTTTGCAGAGTATCAGGGATGGAGACCACGCTGTTCTTTTCTCCAACCTTATTCCCCTCCAATCCAGAAACCTTTTGCTGAGTCACTACTGTTGTCTAAATCCATGTCTAAATCGGTTACTAGTGTAACATATTGTAAATGCATGCTACCTTGTTGCTAATTCCCACCATTAGTCAATTTGCAGTGTCCTGAGGGTTGTTGGATGAAACAGGCCGTCTTTTTGCTCCATCACACTATTTAAATAGGCATACCAGCACTGTATACTTTGACATGGTGAGTTGATTTGCACCAGTTTCAAACTTCCTGGCTTGATTTGCTGTGAGCAGCCACAACCAGAGTTTACTGGGGGTAAGGTAGTGTTACTAACCATGTTTTAATAATTGAAAGGATGTTGGAGAGGGATCAAGCTTGTTTCTGTTGCCCCAGAGATTGGGACATGGAACAATGGGTTCAAACAACAGGAAACGAGATTCCTCTTAAACATTATGAAGAACTTCCTGTTTGACAGCGGGAAAACTCTGTTTTCTTTGAAGTTTTTTGAAGGTTTTTCAACAGAGACGGGATGGCCATCTGTTGGGAGTGCTTTCATTGTGTGTCCCTGGATGGCAGAATGGGGTTGGACTGAATGGCCTGTTTGGGCTCTTCCAACTCTATGATTATATGGTTTTATTAAGGTGAAAACTGGAAAGGGCTCCTGATCCTTTAATGGTTGTGCAGAAGATGGATGTTGCTTACTACGTGACAAGGCTAACAGTTCTTCTTCATCTTTGCTGAACTGGGCCTGGAGAACAACAGAGCCTAAGGTCTTTTGTATTTTTCTGGGTGTAACGAAGTAATTACCAGATATTTAAAATGAAGGCTTTGCTGGGGAACACTACATGTTTTAATTGGCTAAAAAACAATGAGTAATTTGCTCTTAATTGGCTCTGTGAGTTGAAAAGAACTGCTGATGGGAAACAGCAATGTTTATCAGCAACTGTCTCAGTCAGCCTTGAGCTGTTTGATGGCAACACTACAAAATCTGAAATAATAAGCATCTGAAGGTATTTTCCCATGAATTTTACAGTGCTAAATGGATTGAACTGTATGTTCTCTTGTGAATATTTGACTTCTCACAAGTCTTATCAGTGGAAATGAAATTGATTTCCAAATGTTTTAATTATCCATTACATGCATTCAGCAGTTTGCATGAACATTATTGCTCAACATAGCTATCTGGTATTCACCTGAGCTTTTAAATCCCAACTGAACCTCTTCTTAAGTGTTAGCAGAAAGGTTTCTGACAGATCATGAGACTCCAGCATGACTGCTGCCAAAGTCTCATGACTTTGTCTGAAACACTCTGCTCCATTTACCTTGTAGTGTTCACACTTAGGTATACAAAAGCCTAAATGCAAATCTAGTGCTCCTCTGAAAAGTTTCCATTCTTTTCCTCCTTGTTTGCTTGCTTGCCTTGCATTCTTTTCACTATTACTTTCTGGTTTATGTGGATCTCTGTAGATGGTTGCAAACCACTTTGCCCTTTCATATTTTCTCTGTGGACTATGTCAGGCCAGAACATTAAGTCTCCCTTGTGCCACCCTGTGCTTGGGTTTGCTACCATCTGCACTCTGAGTGGATAAGGATTCAGCGTCAATTTCTCCAGAGTAGCTGTGTTCAGACCAGTTAAGCCCGAGGGCTTCGTCCAATGCAAGTGCATGGCAGGCAAACACTTCATGGGCAGTGCATTTGAAAGAAATACATTAGCTACAATGCTTATGTGTCTTTTGCATTCTGGTCAGTGACTTTCACATGCAGCCCTTTGTGGATGCTTTCCAAAAAGAAGACAGCGATCAGGCAGATGGATGGTTTGCTGCAAGCCATCAATGTGAGCAAAAGCCTAAACAAGGATGACTAGATTGACACTTGCAAATGCAGGTTGAGTATCCCTTATTCCAAAATTATCCATATGGGTGGCTAAGAGAGTGCCATCCTTGCTTTCTAATGAGGATTTATTTATCGTGTCATCAGCAACCATACCATTGTATTACATTTCTAACAGAACAAAACAAACAAACAAAACGAGGAGAAAATAAGGTTACTGCAGAATACATGTAGTATCTAACATGGAGATTTTTCTTTTAAGAATGCATAACTTAGATGTTTTTGAATCAGCCTTCCATTGTTTAGTTAAAGCACACATTTTTATGTTTCTAGATTCTATATCCCAATATAATAAAGGAATGGTACAGGTGATCCATTCTAAAATTCTCATTGTTCTGAACTTTAAAGCTTGCTAAATCTGTAGACTAAGGACAGCATATTCCATCCCGAATCCTTCTGATTCCACTCCTATTCCTGCAGCTTCAGTCTTTGTTTTGAACATAGAAAAGGTACATGAGAGGAAAGAATGTATCATATGCCCAGAATAAGGTTCTTTGCAGTTGCACAGATCCTTGACTCCTAAAATAGGTAACTAACTTGCCAAGCAGTAATAATTTTCCATAGTGGATTTGTTTAGTAATTTGTTTCCATGGTTTCCCCATTCCATTAGCTCCCATGTTTATTTAGGGCTGGAGGTCTTATCAAATGATAACACTTCCCCATGTTAACTGCTTGGTGAGTTGGTTGTATTAGCAATCCATGGCCAAGTGCGGAAGGTGTGATCTGGAGCTATCGAACCACCTCAGAGATAGCGCTCAGCTTTAAGGAACACGTTGCCTGCTGTGTTTAGTTCTCGAATTTTAAAATTTCTGCTCCAGGTGGAGTTACCTAAACAGCTTCCAAAAATTCATGACAGCTTTGCTGCATTTGATGTATTTTTTTGTAAGGCATCATAGTTGTATTTCTGAAAACATAATTTTCTATATGTGTTGGATGCATGTTTATCCTATATGTGTACTATAATTTGCTATATATGTTGGGTTCATAATTTCAAGGTGTAAATGAAACGTGTGGATGGGGTGGTGCTCATCTCCATTTCTAAGCCAAAGAGCCGGTGTTGTCCATAGGCATCTCCAAGGTCATGTGGCTGGCATGACTGCATGGAGGGCAATCTTGCTGGTTTTTTTTTAAGTCAGATTCCCTACCCCTGGTTATGACAGCAACTCCATTGAGAGTGAGGAAGATGTTGTATTAATGAATCATCACAACTATCAGTATGATTCAGATCCTAAAAATGGGAAAGGATTAACCATTTTGCCCTTGTACAAGTAGCCAGGAAATGGCACCAGATCACTGAAGCAATGCATGCAGGGATCAGTCCTTACACCATGGTAACAAAATAAACCTGAAAATGGGGTGGAGAGGCAGCAACCACAAAAGAAGGCGAAGCCTATTAGTCAGCTGCACTGCTGCGTT